GGCACCAAGCAGCCGGTCCGCGCAGCCGGGGCACGGGCATGGATGACGGGCAAGGTGTCGCACCACGAGGCCCAATGCGCGGCAAAGCGAAGTGCGCCCGCACGCCTACGACCGGCCGTCCGCCGGGCCAGCATCCACCGATGGACAGGTATGCTGGCCGTGGCGGCGCAGCGTGCGTATGCGCAATCGCTCTTAGAGCTGCCGATGGCGAGCGTGGAGCAGGGCGACGGGGACCCGCCTCCGCTGGGCGACTTGCTGGCGCAGGCGCGCGACGCTGAGGTCGTCGCGGTCAGCCGCCTGCCGGCCCCCCGCCACTGAACGTCCGCGGGTGTAGGTAGAGGTAGCCGCCGAGACCAGCGGGAAAAAGGTGCGTTGAAAAAAAAAAGATTTCCGCATATGATACATTCATAACGCGGAGGCAGCTTCCATCATCCTTCCCGATTTTGTGACTGCCCGGTGAGGACCACCGCGAACGTGGAGTGCACAGAACTTTAAATATCACGAGCAATAATTTAGCAGCTGGGATTAAAGCGCTCAGCATTCAAAACAGAAGACGAAAATACATAATCATCGTTCGGTTTTCTTCCCTACTGTTTGTACCCTGTCCCGATTGTAGGATTTCCATGGGTTGCCTAATTATGAACAATACGAAGGCTGAGCCCAACAGCACCAGCTCATGCGGCCGATGACATAGCTTCCCGGCGTCAAGGCGTCACATGCTGAAGCTGGATATGGGGAGTTGCACCCTTGCAGCAGCAGGCTGCTTCTGCTTTGGTAACCTGTCGGACGCTGTAACAGCGATCGCAAACTATCTGTCAGTAGTTTCAGCACGGTGGTCTTCCTGATTGACGCGGGTGGATGCTGTGGACGAACACTCCATCACTGAGTTGGATGCGGACACAACCAAGCGGCTCCCGAGAATGTTTCAGAAAGAATTTCAATATATTCAACATATTCAACATGCAATCATACACTGGACTTCCTCGTGCTCCACTTGTTTGGTGCCTCTGCTGGTCCCCGGACACGAGTTTGAACGGATGAATGGCGCGTGTCAACAGACCAAACACTACAGGAAGCCGGTAGTTTGCTCCTACACCCAAAACCTCTCAAACCCTGAAGCCCTGAGGGCTTTTTACCCGGCCTGGCAGACGGACATGCATGGCCTCGACGGCGGCAGGTCGCGCGCGAAGCCTGCAGGAACCTCGGATTTTTCCTAAGTGTGTAATGTAGTCTTTGGCTGAGTCTGTCGATCTTACAAATTCGGCAGCAGATTGTGGGCATGAGCGTCAAGATAAGTTCTCGCAGTCTCTCGCACCCTCTCTGGGTCTAGGTGACTAAGTGGGTACCCTTTGCGATGTTGCACAGCCAGGTCGGTCGTGAGACAGCGTTGCTCATCCGGCTTCTTTTGCCAATCAGCCCGGAGCCCTGACACCGCACGTGTAGGAGGAAGCTGTTCGAGTGCCGCCGTTGTGCATTCCGGGGCAGCCTGGAAAGCTTCGGGCAAGTGGATGGGAGAAAGGAGGGATTTCGCTTTGGACAGCACAACAGCATGTTGTGTTGTGCACGGCTCAAACTCAACATGGAGGTACCACATGGTGACACGGCTGGCACCGCAACTTTGCGACCAGAATCAGCCGGTTTCCCCGAACGCCTCCAATCTCAACTCTTGGAAAGCACCGGGTGGCAGCATCTCGTCATGCAAGCGTTGCCTGCTTTGTGCGTTGTTTGCTTTGTCGGTCATCCTGCTTTGGAAGTGCTACCCTGGCTTCGTCTTTACTCTGAGATCTGCCTGGCATTACGTGGAGGAGACTCGGCCGCTGTTTGGATTTCTTTGGAGGGCAGTGTGGCTTGTGTGCTGCGATGCCCTTTCTTCCGCCTTTCGCGTCGAACCCTGGAGCCTGGGAGTGTCTGAGGATTTCGTGGACGTCCGTCCTTTTCTCAAGTCCTCCTCCGTCTTGGCCATCTCGAATGCCGGGGGCAGTGAGGAGTGCCCACGTCAGCGGAGGAGCTGCCCGAGCTGTAAAACCAGCGCAGGGGCTGAAGTCTTCACGACCGAAAGGGCTCTTAGGATACATTCGACGAAGAGCGCATGGGGGCCTGCATGGCCTGCTCCTCGTTTTCGACGGTCATACACTGACTTCACATGTGCGCAGGAACGCATATCCATCTCGCCAAACATCCTGACAGCCTTTTGTACATACATCCATGCATGCCCCCCCAAACACAATCACAATCTACACCACATGCATACATGCATACATGCATACATGCACACATGCACACATGCATACATGCATACATAGGTAGGTGCTGGTGCTGCCAACGCGAACCCTACCCGCAGCTGACGGCCCCGTCGAGGGGGAGCCAAAAGAGGTCAGGAAATCGCTCACGGGCTTCTACGCTAGATTACGCTAGTACAAGCCAGGAAAGGGAGAAGTCAAGAGAAACAGAGCTTTGCGTGCTGTTGTGGTTGACAGTGTTTGGCATCTGTGCACATGGAGGTCCGGACAGGATGCTGGGGTCTTCGGGGGCCTGAGCCTGGGAACCGGCCACGTCAGCCTGGCTCTCAGACTCAGCTGAGGGATGCCGAGGTGAACCTTAGCAGATCGAAATCCTTGCAACTTCGATCGCATCAGACAGTCTAAGGGATGTTGTGAAACGCTAGCCTCCTTTGCACTACAAGCAGTTACAGGTCTGCGGGGTTTTTCCGTGGCAGTTTTCTTCGAGCGCAGCTTGCGACGTGTTAGCACTGGAAGCCGCCGCGTGTTTGCCCTTTCCAATGGTTGCATTGTGGAAGTTCGCGGAGTTCGCGGTGATCTGGTGCCTCAACGAAGCAATCGCCTTCAAGGTCGGCTCCTTGAAGGACGGCGAAGGCCCGTTTGCGGAGCTACATTGAGGCACAGACGTGAAACGTCTCAAGCGATCCTGAATATCGCTTGAACTCGTTGATTGATTTTACATCGCATGTAGCTGGCAGCATGCAGCATTTGACTGCAGTGCGTTGTTTTCCCGTTGCGACAGTGTGGCCTGAATGCCTTCCGAGGTGGGGTCACTAGACAGTGCGTCAGAAAGTTCAGCCAGCAGTTAAAAGCTGCTCGCCTCAGCCTTGTTCTTGAAGACTGGAAGCTTGAAATCATGAAAGCCCGAAGCCCGAAACTTCAAAACCCCAGCCAGGCCCGGAAACCTTCCGGCTCTTCGCGTTTCCGCCGGCGTCTGAGGTTCCGAAAGCTTCCGAGGTTCGAGAGGCCACAGTGAGAGGAAGGTGTGAGGTGTGACGGAGGTGCTCTAAAGGTGATTTGTATCTCCGGCCTGTTTGCTCGGACTGCGCAAGTTTGAATAGCAGTTCTTAGTTCTGCCCGACCTGCTCTCAGAGTCTTTTCCAGCATTCGTCAACCGAGCGGCCATGGATTTTGACGCTGAGGCCACAGCACCGCCCGAGCCTGAGTAGTGAGTAGTTCCGAGTGGTTTGTAGGCTCTCAGACGGTGCTTTGAAAGCCGAAGACTACCCTGAGCGATGCTGGCTGTTTCGAATCAAGGTTGGCCTGGAAAATGAAATCCGTCTTTGCATGCATGCATACCGGTAGGCAATGAAAACAAGAGTT